TTATTTGTTGTTTGTTGATTTTTAAATATAAAACTTGGTGAAGTGATTTATGTGTCTGTACTTTTTTAACATCTCCAGCACATTTTAACAAAACCGTGATAATACTGATAACCGTGATCGTTTTGGTCCGAATAATCGTGATAAGAAATTTTCATACCGTTACATCCCTATCAATGACTAAACGGATTCATAATCTGAAGCTAAAAAATCTAAAACAAGTCTGTGCCCATCATACACTACATGATTTTATGTGAAATCAGTCAACCCTTACTGCCAAAAATCTGCAGACTTGTCATGACTTTAGGCAATAGCATTCATTTAAATTTAAAAGGGGCAGTTTCCCGGTCAGGGTTTAAATTAAGCCAGCAGTAGGCTTAATCTAGAATAGTTAATCATTAGGGATGTAACGATTCACTCAACTCACGATTCGATTCACGATTTTGATTTCACGATTCGATTCGATTCACGATTATTATACTTTTTTTAACAAAATTAGATTTAAGACAAATTATAAATTAAATGTGTCCTTTTATTATTGCTTGGACAAAATGCTGCACATTTCTTTGTGAAATTGAAATATAATACTATAATAATATACTAATATAGCACTTGCATATTATTGCTCTTTTGTTGGTTAAGGCTTTGTCTGTGCTCTTTCCTTTTAAAATTAGAGGCAACCACTGCATTTTAATCTTTATGCAAACAAAGATGCTGCATACATGCAACATGAGCAGTTTTTAAACTAAATTAGATTGTATAGTTTCGAAATTTGAAGCAAAAACAGAATGGTTTGACCAGTTTTGTGAAACTATAAATAAAAATATCTGCATGAAACAGCAAAACTGAATGAGAACTCTCTGCCAGCAGGTGGCGCTTAAACCCTTACTTTCCTGGTTTCCGCTGTAAACACAGCAGCGCTGAATTTACGAACTTTAATATGCATTATACAGAGGCAAGATGAAAAGAAAAAATACCATCTAAACTTTTCTAAAGACAGTAAGTTCCCCTCAGACATGCATTCATATAAACTCCTACACCTAAATGAATCGCGATTTGTTTAGCATCTCAACCGATTTGAATCGTCACATATTTGAATCGATTTTCAACCGGCTCGCAGTTAATCGTTACATCCCTATTAATCATGGTTTAAAAATTGCTTTCTGAAAACACAGATTAAGTGCAGATTACTAACTCCTGGACTATGGAGTCCTGAACGAAAATAAACTAGATTAATTTAAAACCAACTGTGCTAATCTGAATTAGTACGACAGAGGTTGCCTATAAAACATGGAATGAACCAAGAAAATCTTAAAATTGTATGGAACTGAGAAGCAAATCCATGGAAAACAATAGCAGCTGAAAAAAAGACTGCAACCCAAAAAAAAAAACTTTACTGAACAAGACAGAACTTTTTTTAGCAAGCAATTTAACCGCACACATCAGGTGTCAAATAAAAGAAAAGGAATGCCCAGAAATCTCTTTGTAATGAATTCTGCATAAATTCTTCCAATCAGCTGTTGTTGTCAGTTTTGCAAAATTATTATTATTAATTATTAAGTAATACATAAAGTAGCTGTTTTAGAGAGAGAGAGAGAGAGAGAGAGAGAGTGTGTCATGGTCAGAATTATTTTGGCACCCTAAAATTGTTTATCCTTTTGATCTTTAAAAAACAAAAATACAAATCACATGACAGAGAAAGCAGATTTCTGTTAATCTGGTTTAAAGGGCCATTTTAGTCTAGGACTAGGCTTAATCTCTGTCTGGGAAACCGCCCCATAAACTGTAAAATGAAAATTATAAATGTTGACTAGCAAACAACTGGAATAAATATAGGTTAATGTACTAAAATTAATAAAAAATAAATGTAAATAAATAAAATAAAAATAATGTAAATAAAAATAAATGAAAGCCAAGTAGAAATATAACAAAAATACAAAAAAATGACAAAAGCACATAAATTACAAAAACTTTAAATAAAAACATTAAAAATATAAGCTAATTAAAAATATTAAAATATACTATAATAGTACGTAAATAATGCTAAAATAACAGTCTCAGCCTGACTGTGCTTTTCTTGAGGCCTCAATGGAAAGATGACATACAAAAAAAAAAAATTATATATATATATATATGTATGAGCACCAAACAAGCAGTGGCAAAACATTATATTCTACAGATACAAGCTGATACAGACACAGATACCAATTCAAGCTGACAATTTGTAAAAATCAAAGAAATCTCCAGATCACTGCAGGTATATCCAAACACTTGAGAAAGACACCTCTCGACACTAAATCAGTATTTGATATATCATAAATCTACAGTCCAACGATCTTTGATAATTTGTGGGTGTGTCATGTCTTCTTCTGACAGTCATTCTTGTTTAGCTACATGAAGCTCAGGTGTGTCAACCCAGATTCCGTTTCACAACACATGAAACAGTCTGTTCTGATTACTCACACTGACACCATTTTACACAAAAGTGTTCAAATTCTGAGTACTGAGTATTGGCATAACTGATCGAAGGTCTATGATTATAGGCTTGTTTACAGCAAAGCAAAAGTTCCCATCTGATCCCAGAACAGTAACAGAGTACTACTCGCCTCAAAGTTTTTCTCCATCGAGTTTTAATGAAAAGGATGTGGCATGTGAACTGAATCATGCGAGTTTTCCATCTATTCACATTTTCCAGGCTGGTAAATTAAAATGGATTGTATGAGTTTGAGCCTAAAGAGCCCAAACCCCAGGATCACTCGTGCAAGATCAGGTTACAGAGCTGGTCAGCTCAGTCACACTCACAGCACAGCAGAGACTTTACTAGAGCAACATAAGATTTCCATTAGAAGCCGATTTCACCCACCTAGACTTAGGGGAGCCTGAGGCAGAAAGGGGGGACAGAAAAATGTATCAGTGTGCTTTTGGGAGAAAGTACCTTTTACTAAAATATTTCCTCAAATGCATGCAATTTTGAAAACTGATCATCATCATCAACACACGATTTAAAAACATCACCACATGTCTTTTACAGAAACATCCGCTCTGTCACAGTCAAGCCTTTAACACCTGCCTGATCACCGAGAACATGTTTCTAACAAAACATGTTACGAGGCACCATAGCAACAATGTTTTTGGTCATGTCCAAAACATGGTATTATGGTATCATGCTAGTATATGGTATCACTTGAAATAAAACAATTGAGGTGAATGAATATGCGCGAGTAGCAAGAAGACAAACAGTCTGTCTTTCATTAATTTCCGACTGTAGTACACAGACAACACAATTGATCAACTAACACGCTACATCAACGCTACTACCACGTACAGCTGTATGTATATTCACATAAACACAAGAATTATCACTACAAACATAACATAACACGTGCCAAGGATAGGAGAAACAACTCACCGTTGCAGAGTCACACCAGAAAACCGTCTCACACGCGAAACCGGGTGAAACTTCATTCTGAAGTTTCATAAAATGACTGTTGAGTTTGCAGAGCCCCGCAACAACCGTAGTGAAAGAAAGTTGCGTTTACGTTTGTAGAGGCGGGAAACTCAGTCAGTCATTCAGTCAGCAGCAGCGGAGCCGCTTGCGAGCACAATAGCTGCAGAGGTGTCACTGCATACTGTGCATAGGAATGTCTGAGGACTTTAACTCTCTGTAGCGCTCAAGAGACTGACACACTTCATTACTGTCACAGACACATGCTTGCATGTCTTCATAAATACCTAATATTTTAGGTTACAGAGGGAAACTATTATTATTTTTAATTTTTTTTTACAACCATTGTATTTATTGATCCTGTTTCGACTTTTAGGACTATTTTTTATTGGTGGAGCAAAAACAGACTATGGTACTAATATGATAGTAAAATATGAATATTTACACAGCACTTAGTTTCATGCTCTAATTCGATTGGCTACGCGGTATTCCAAGAGCACTGATATTTTCAGTGGTGCTTTCTGCTGAATAGTTCATTCATTCATTCAAACAATTCATTCAAAACACCCATTCAGTCACACGCTATAATTTTGTTCAGAGATGGGCAACTAGTTTGGACTGTGTTCATCAACCAGTGATCCTGTTTCAGCTTTTCATTGGTGTAACAAAAACAGACAAATTACTACATATAGTAGTCATGTGTATTAGATATCACATAAAAGATTAATATTTTCACAGTACTTCATTTCGTCCTCAAATTAGATTAGCCCAGCTGTTTTCCAAGAGTTCTGAAATGAAGAGGGAATTTTCATTGATCCTTTCTGCAGGTTACATCGTTATGCCAGTAGGTGGCGACAAGTGACTGTATTAATGAATGAGTCATTGAATCATTCAATCAACTGATCTATGTAAAACACAGATTTATTCAGTAATGCTACTACTATTTTGTTCAGAGACATGTAATGGTTGATCCCATTTGGACTTCTGGAACTGTTTTCATTGGTGGAGCAAAAACAGACAAAATGCACCAGCAGGTGGCGACAAGTGACTGTATTTATGAGTGAGTATTCATTTAAAACACTTCTTGCAATAACTCCACTATAGTGTATTGTTTTGGAGACATGCAAAGGTTGATTTTACTTTGACATTTGGAATTATTTTCATTGGTGGAGCAAAAACAGACAAAGCAACAGGCAATGTTGTGTCTAATTTGTAAGTTACTCGATATGCGACACAATATTGTGTTAATACCACACTGGTTGACATTTAAAATTGAATTATTTATATTATTTATTTTTATTTTTTTTACCAGGGTATACCATTCTTTAAAGAACTGTAGACTACAATTAGTCAAGTGCCATGACACTAGTAGGAATGCTGCATGGGCATTATATGGTTTTGGCTACATCTGAAGGTTACTTCCTTTGGCTGGATTGATAACGTTGTTTGATTTCCTGTTGTGCCAAACTAGATTAATTATACAATTGCTTTATTGGATGAAACTAAGATCACAAAGTGATGCCAGATATTTTCATGTAGTAAACACATGTTCAATTTTTGTATTGTGATAGTTTATTCTTTTTTCTGAATGTTTGTTATGCTTTGTTTATGCATGCAGTGGTAATCCACACCTAAACAGCCCAAACAGAGGGGTTTGTATCCAGTTCCTCCCAGCATTCACTACTCAATCTTCAAAAAAAAATAACCCCAGGGAATATCAAATGGGCTATTAGGCACAGGATCATATAGAAATATGCCAATGTATATTCACTTTAACTATGTGTTTGTATTCTTGGCAGAATAGCAATGATTTTTCCGATTCTCAGTCCACAAGGAGGGAACTCTTATGCCATCCAAAAAGAATGCGCAGTTCTTCCACTCCCAGTCTGTCTGTCACATGTAATCCTACAGCCTGTGGAACTGTTGCTTTCCAGTTGCAATTCATTTACAAAACCACACAAGAAAGCCTTTGTTTGTTGCAGTTCACTATGACAGTCTTTTATGTGCTTTTATGATTCCGTTTTTTGATTCAATGCAATTATATCTGATGTTTGCACGACTGGAGCTTGTTGCACAACAATGCAGACATAATTCTGTGTTTTTAGCTCAGGTTTTTGATCATTATTTTTAGGTTATTAAACAATTAGATTATTAAACCATGCCTCGTGCAATTGTAAATATTCAAATAAGGCTGTCACAGGTTTGTACAAAAGTGTTTGATATCCTGGTGGTACTTGCAACTTCATACTCTGTCACTCTGTGGGCTTTTTGTTTTGTCATTCCATCTAAACACCTGCAAGTGAAGGTTTTCATGAACTGAAGTCTCAACAATTTAAAGGTGGTGTTGATCTAAACCTGTTTTTGTCACCTCCTGATCTGTGTTACACTGCTTCCCTCTACTGGATAGTAACGTCAACGGATGACTTGAATAATAAATGGATGCTGACAAAACAGTTTTGAATATCCTCACTCAGAGTGACTAAGCACTTTTATATAATCAAATCTAATGTTTGTTTATTCACTTTGTAATTATTTGTTTATATCTGTAACATTGGTTATGTGTTCTTTTGCACAAATGTTATGATCTATCATCCATTATATAATTTCTTTGACTTGCAGTTTCCATGTGGCAGAATGTGATTTTTTTTCACTGATAGTTTAGACTACTTTTTTAATGAATGCTTGACATGTGACAAAATTCAAAGAATAAAATAAATAATTTGACCAAAGAAAATAATTTGACAAAATGTAAACAATATTCTGACACATTCTGATGTATTTTCTCAAATAATTCCAGATTAAGATTTTAAAAAACTATGAAAAATAATAGCTTTTAAAATAAAAATAATTTTATAGAAAAATGTTGACATCATCACATTTAAATCTATACTTAATATACTGAGCTATAACCACACAAATGTACTTATAATAAGCATCAGAAAATGTCAAAATTAATTCATTCAGGTTTTTTTTTATTATAAATAAAAAACAATAAAATAATATTAAAATAAAACAATATTATTGGAGTACATTTGACATTTTTGTCTTTGTAATTTCACTTTTAATGCAATGTGTTAATTGCCATTTCTATTTAATTGTGAAATTTACAAGCAATTTCTGAGTAAAAATTTTTTTTTCAGTACACTCATGAGATACTATAACGATTATGAAAATTAACAAAATTAACATGTACAATATATATTATAATGAACAACATGTTGTGGGGACACTGTATGCTTTTAACATAATTGGCAACGAAGATATCTAATGTTTTTAGATTGTAAAGTTATCGTATTTGAAATTCGTTGCATTCTAATCCTGCATCATTGAAATGTAATTCAAATGACAGTCCTGTGTCTGTTTGCTATACCTCAAATTTAAGAAATTTTAAAGGCATCCGCAGTTCAATTCTGAATGGTGAATGATGGCAAACATGTGGCATATTTTGGCCAAACCCCATAAAATACCTGTTTGATATGCATATGTTTGCTTTTGCATGCAACATTTTTATTCATTTATAGCAGACACTTTTATCCAAAGCGGCCTACAGATCCAACACTATTACAACAATATGAAATTAGTTGAATAACTTTAGTACGTTTTTCATTAACAGATTTACATTAATCCAAAGTACACTGAACAAAATTATAAACGCAACCACTAACACAGATTTAGACAGATTTGTGAACAATATTTGAGAGAAATAGGCCTTTTGTGTACATAGAAAAAGTCTTAGATCTTTGAGTTCAGCTCATGAAAAATGGGGGCAAAAACAAAAGTGTTGCGTTTATAATTTTGTTCAGTGTAAATCATAAGTGAGGGAAAATGCAATAAAAGTTAGAATGAGTAATATAAGTGTATTTTAGATTAAAGGGTGATAGATTAAAGGGTGTAACTGAAATAGCCAAAGCCTTAATTAGAAGGGGATGTTCCATGTGTGTTTATTGAATCTGTGTCGATCTATCATTAAAGCCTGCTGCTGTTATCTTGACAATGTAAATGTACTGCATTGGAACAGGCTGTTCATGTCTAGAGTTACTTAACAGCCTGTTTGAGAACAGAGGGCAAAACAGCTTGTTCTTTTTAGAGGGCAGAAAACTGCTAAAATTGAATCTTAAAGGAATAGTTCACCGCAAAATGAAAATTAGCTAAACAAGCAGTTTGCTAAAGAGGCCATCCAAGAAGCAAATTTGTAAATGTCTTTCCTAATCAGAACAGATTTGGAGAAATTTAGAATTAAATCACTTCCTCACCAATGGATCCTCTGCAGTGAATGGGTGCCATCAGAATGAGAGTCCAAACAGCTGATAAAATTAGAGCTGATTAAAGTTACAATGCCTTAATGATGGATTGTTTCTTATAAACACACAACACACTGGGGTGGTGTGGATTACTTGTGATGTTTTTATCCGCTGTTTGGACTCTCATTCTGACGGCACCCATTCACTGCAGAGGACCCATTGGTGAGCAAGTGATGTAATTCTACATTTTTCCAAATCGGTTGTTAAGAAAAACAAACTCATCTACATCTTGGATGGCCTGAGGGTGAGTAAATCGTCAGCAGATTTTCATTTTTAGGTGAAATATTCCTTTAAATGCTGATGTCTGCCGTGTATTGCATTTAACAGTGCATCCTTAAATATATACACAAAGCATTAAGTATGTGATTAAAATGATCCCATCTAAGGCAGAAAATCACAAATTAATGAGAGAAAGAACAGAAAATCCACAAGAATGCAGCTATAATCCTTCTTTACCACTTGGCAACGGTGCGATTCACATGATTACCATGTTGTAGCCTACAAGTTTAAATTCTTGAAAAAAGACACTGTACTCAGCGAGGTAAGGAACTTTCATTTATTTCAGAAGTTCAGAAGTCATAAATATGCAAGATGAAACCTACAGCAAGCATTATTCAAATTGACAACCTTATTCAATAAATAATATGGAGGGATCTGCTCTTATATAAATGGATTATTAACAGAAATCTCATCAGATAAAAGAAAAAATCTTAAGGCAGCATGTCCATAAATTTCTGGTGAAGTATCAGTAAACCGTTAATAGTGCTTTTAATAAAGATAAATTGACAAAAGTCAGTGTAAAGTGGTTTTAGGTCAGTTTAAACAAACAGGTTTAAATAAAATTATCAAATTAAATAAATGTAAAGTTCAAGCAAACTGAAGAGCCCCATTTCAAAGTGACTGGACTGCAGAAGAACAGCCATTACTGATAGTCACTGCCTCTTGTAACAACTCACAATAACTCATCTTTGTGCCAAGATACATGTCCAATAAATAAATAGGTGCGACTCATTCTATATCAGGCAAATATTTGTGTAGCAAACCTGTGCATATATCTAGTTCAAGTGGTCCATCAAGGTTCAGAACATATTACTGATTGCATATTCAGCTTTAAGCACATATAATTCAGAACTTAACAGAACGAACCTTAATTTGAGCATGAAAAAATATTCAGACAAACTGTTGACCCTGCGTCTTCCTTTTAAAATAAATGCCAGTTACAGTACATTGTCAACGACAAAATGCAAAGGGGTTTTTAAAGGGATAGTTTGCCCAAAAAAATAAAATCCTGTAATAATTTACCTATCCTAGTGTTGTTCCAAACTTCCTTCCATGGAAGAAAAATGGAGATATTTCAAAAGACTATAAATGAAGGCATACATATGGAACGTATGGAATAGTGTGACTTTGAGAATCAAAAACATCTCCTTTTATGTTCCATGGAAAAAAATCAATTGCAACGGCATGAGGGTGAGAAAATGATGGAACTGACATTTTTGGTGATTTTTACACACATCAAGCACAGCTCCTGACCAGCAGTCTATTATTACGTTGTCTACTATACTCTCTATATGATAAAGCAATACTGTCTCAACAGTAGTTAAAGAATATCTGCTGTCTTCACGAAAGGATAAGAAAATACAAAATCACTAAAAATCCTGTTATATACTGTACTGTACATACTGCATACAGTAAGGTACTCAAATCAAAGAAAAAGCCTCAGACTTTCAATGTATATTATTACAGTAAAACAGCTTCTTTGGTAACTAATGCAGCAATTATTTGTAGCAAACATACAAAATCTCTTTTCATCTCACTATAATATGAATCAGGTCTTATTTTTTATGCTGTTATACCACTTCCTTAGGGCCACCCCACTAGTGCTGCTAATCACACACAGCGCTCCTCCCAGACTCCACCATGTCGGTTTGTGGTTGAGGAATAGGAACTGCAGGATGAACGCCAGGACCACATCCATAGTCCTCATCAGTGCAACAGGTCCTGCTTTCTCAATCTGTAGGGCTTTGGTAAGGAACGTCTGGCCGGCTATACCGAGCAGCCCGATGGCCATGAGCATCCACCTGTCCCAGCCGCAGGACGGAATGGTCCATTCATCCAAGATGAACAAAACGATGACACACTCAATGAGTCCGATAACTGCATAGTACCACACAGAGAGGTAGTAATGAACACTTTTCCCTATTTTTCCCAGAATGACCATAGTGCAAGCCGCTCCGATCGCCCCCATGAAGGCAGCCACCGTGCCTTTGATGTGATTGGTGTAGTCTCCTTCGATCCCAGACAGCTTGCCACCAAAGAGGAAGGGAGGTCTGGCTATCAGTATGACGCCGGTGAGCGTAAACACTGTAAAAATGACGTCCAATATGGTGCACCTCTCCTTGAGGAAAATCCAAGCCAGCAAGGATGTGAAGACTGGATTACTGAACATTATAACTGTGGCATCCGCTAGGGGCATCTGCAGAACTGCATAATACAACAAGATCATGGCGTTGGAGCCCAGGAACCCTCTGAGGAACAGGTAGATTCGCATCTCTCTTGGTCCCAAAAAGCCAGTACTGACAAAATAAAAGGTTATAGGTTATTGCCACATTGTGGAGTCAAATTATTCAAATATTAAATCCAATTACAGGGTCAAGAGATTGATACTTTAGTAGATACTAAAGTAGTATTATAGATTGATACTTTCTATATATACTTACTAAATTTATCAGATTTATACTTGTTTTATGGATTCTTCTAATGTATCACATTCATACTTGTATTATAAAGTCTTACTTGTAAGATATCTGATTCATACTTGTATTATAGAGTCTTGTATCATATCAGATTCATATTTGTATTATAAGAGTCTTATGATATCAGATTCATAGTGTATTATACAGTTTTAAGATATCAGATTCATACTTGTATTAAAAAGTCTTACTTGTATCATATCAGATAGATATAGATTCTTGTAATATATCAGATCCATATCTGTATTATAGATTCAAATTTTAACAGATTCTTACTTGTAATATATCAGATTCATACTTGTATTATACATTCATACTTTTATTATATATTCTTACTTGTAGTTTATCAGATTCATACTTGTATTATACATTCATACTTTTATTATATATTCTTACTTGTAGTTTACACCTGTGCAATAATCATGCTGTCTAATCAGCATCTTGATATGCCACACCTGTGAGGTGGATGGATTATCTCGGCAAAGGAGAAGTGCTCACTAACACAGATTTAGACAGATTTGTGAACAATATTTGAGAGAAATAGGCCTTTTGTGTACATAGAAAAAGTCTTAGATCTTTGAGTTCAGCTCATGAAAAATGGGGGCAAAAACAAAAGTGTTGCGTTTATAATTTTGTTCAGTGTAAATCATAAGTGAGGGAAAATGCAATAAAAGTTAGAATGAGTAATATAAGTGTATTTTAGATTAAAGGGTGATAGATTAAAGGGTGTAACTGAAATAGCCAAAGCCTTAATTAGAAGGGGATGTTCCATGTGTGTTTATTGAATCTGTGTCGATCTATCATTAAAGCCTGCTGCTGTTATCTTGACAATGTAAATGTACTGCATTGGAACAGGCTGTTCATGTCTAGAGTTACTTAACAGCCTGTTTGAGAACAGAGGGCAAAACAGCTTGTTCTTTTTAGAGGGCAGAAAACTGCTAAAATTGAATCTTAAAGGAATAGTTCACCGCAAAATGAAAATTAGCTAAACAAGCAGTTTGCTAAAGAGGCCATCCAAGAAGCAAATTTGTAAATGTCTTTCCTAATCAGAACAGATTTGGAGAAATTTAGAATTAAATCACTTCCTCACCAATGGATCCTCTGCAGTGAATGGGTGCCATCAGAATGAGAGTCCAAACAGCTGATAAAATTAGAGCTGATTAAAGTTACAATGCCTTAATGATGGATTGTTTCTTATAAACACACAACACACTGGGGTGGTGTGGATTACTTGTGATGTTTTTATCCGCTGTTTGGACTCTCATTCTGACGGCACCCATTCACTGCAGAGGACCCATTGGTGAGCAAGTGATGTAATTCTACATTTTTCCAAATCGGTTGTTAAGAAAAACAAACTCATCTACATCTTGGATGGCCTGAGGGTGAGTAAATCGTCAGCAGATTTTCATTTTTAGGTGAAATATTCCTTTAAATGCTGATGTCTGCCGTGTATTGCATTTAACAGTGCATCCTTAAATATATACACAAAGCATTAAGTATGTGATTAAAATGATCCCATCTAAGGCAGAAAATCACAAATTAATGAGAGAAAGAACAGAAAATCCACAAGAATGCAGCTATAATCCTTCTTTACCACTTGGCAACGGTGCGATTCACATGATTACCATGTTGTAGCCTACAAGTTTAAATTCTTGAAAAAAGACACTGTACTCAGCGAGGTAAGGAACTTTCATTTATTTCAGAAGTTCAGAAGTCATAAATATGCAAGATGAAACCTACAGCAAGCATTATTCAAATTGACAACCTTATTCAATAAATAATATGGAGGGATCTGCTCTTATATAAATGGATTATTAACAGAAATCTCATCAGATAAAAGAAAAAATCTTAAGGCAGCATGTCCATAAATTTCTGGTGAAGTATCAGTAAACCGTTAATAGTGCTTTTAATAAAGATAAATTGACAAAAGTCAGTGTAAAGTGGTTTTAGGTCAGTTTAAACAAACAGGTTTAAATAAAATTATCAAATTAAATAAATGTAAAGTTCAAGCAAACTGAAGAGCCCCATTTCAAAGTGACTGGACTGCAGAAGAACAGCCATTACTGATAGTCACTGCCTCTTGTAACAACTCACAATAACTCATCTTTGTGCCAAGATACATGTCCAATAAATAAATAGGTGCGACTCATTCTATATCAGGCAAATATTTGTGTAGCAAACCTGTGCATATATCTAGTTCAAGTGGTCCATCAAGGTTCAGAACATATTACTGATTGCATATTCAGCTTTAAGCACATATAATTCAGAACTTAACAGAACGAACCTTAATTTGAGCATGAAAAAATATTCAGACAAACTGTTGACCCTGCGTCTTCCTTTTAAAATAAATGCCAGTTACAGTACATTGTCAACGACAAAATGCAAAGGGGTTTTTAAAGGGATAGTTTGCCCAAAAAAATAAAATCCTGTAATAATTTACCTATCCTAGTGTTGTTCCAAACTTCCTTCCATGGAAGAAAAATGGAGATATTTCAAAAGACTATAAATGAAGGCATACATATGGAACGTATGGAATAGTGTGACTTTGAGAATCAAAAACATCTCCTTTTATGTTCCATGGAAAAAAATCAATTGCAACGGCATGAGGGTGAGAAAATGATGGAACTGACATTTTTGGTGATTTTTACACACATCAAGCACAGCTCCTGACCAGCAGTCTATTATTACGTTGTCTACTATACTCTCTATATGATAAAGCAATACTGTCTCAACAGTAGTTAAAGAATATCTGCTGTCTTCACGAAAGGATAAGAAAATACAAAATCACTAAAAATCCTGTTATATACTGTACTGTACATACTGCATACAGTAAGGTACTCAAATCAAAGAAAAAGCCTCAGACTTTCAATGTATATTATTACAGTAAAACAGCTTCTTTGGTAACTAATGCAGCAATTATTTGTAGCAAACATACAAAATCTCTTTTCATCTCACTATAATATGAATCAGGTCTTATTTTTTATGCTGTTATACCACTTCCTTAGGGCCACCCCACTAGTGCTGCTAATCACACACAGCGCTCCTCCCAGACTCCACCATGTCGGTTTGTGGTTGAGGAATAGGAACTGCAGGATGAACGCCAGGACCACATCCATAGTCCTCATCAGTGCAACAGGTCCTGCTTTCTCAATCTGTAGGGCTTTGGTAAGGAACGTCTGGCCGGCTATACCGAGCAGCCCGATGGCCATGAGCATCCACCTGTCCCAGCCGCAGGACGGAATGGTCCATTCATCCAAGATGAACAAAACGATGACACACTCAATGAGTCCGATAACTGCATAGTACCACACAGAGAGGTAGTAATGAACACTTTTCCCTATTTTTCTCAGAATGACCATAGTGCAAGCCGCTCCGATCGCCCCCATGAAGGCAGCCACCGTGCCTTTGATGTGATTGGTGTAGTCTCCTTCGATCCCAGACAGCTTGCCACCAAAGAGGAAGGGAGGTCTGGCTATCAGTATGACGCCGGTGAGCGTAAACACTGTAAAAATGACGTCCAATATGGTGCACCTCTCCTTGAGGAAAATCCAAGCCAGCAAGGATGTGAAGACTGGATTACTGAACATTATAACTGTGGCATCCGCTAGGGGCATCTGCAGAACTGCATAATACAACAAGATCATGGCGTTGGAGCCCAGGAACCCTCTGAGGAACAGGTAGATTCGCATCTCTCTTGGTCCCAAAAAGCCAGTACTGACAAAATAAAAGGTTATAGGTTATTGCCACATTGTGGAGTCAAATTATTCAAATATTAAATCCAATTACAGGGTCAAGAGATTGATACTTTAGTAGATACTAAAGTAGTATTATAGATTGATACTTTCTATATATACTTACTAAATTTATCAGATTTATACTTGTTTTATGGATTCTTCTAATGTATCACATTCATACTTGTATTATAAAGTCTTACTTGTAAGATATCTGATTCATACTTGTATTATAGAGTCTTGTATCATATCAGATTCATATTTGTATTATAAGAGTCTTATGATATCAGATTCATAGTGTATTATACAGTTTTAAGATATCAGATTCATACTTGTATTAAAAAGTCTTACTTGTATCATATCAGATAGATATAGATTCTTGTAATATATCAGATCCATATCTGTATTATAGATTCAAATTTTAACAGATTCTTACTTGTAATATATCAGATTCATACTTGTATTATACATTCATACGTTTATTATATATTCTTACTTGTAGTTTATCAGATTCATACTTGTATTATACATTCATACGTTTATTATATATTCTTACTTGTAGTTTATCAGATTCATACTTGTATTATACATTCATACTTGTACTATAGATTCTTACTTGTAATATAGCAGATTCTTACTTGTGATACATCAGATTCGTACTTGTAATACATCAGATTTGTACTTGTATTATACATTCAAACTTGTAATATATCAGATTCATACTTGCATTACACATTCATACTTGTATTATATATTCTTACTTGTAATATATCAGATTCATACTTGCATTATACATTCATACTTGTATTATATATTCTTACTTGTAATATATCCGATTTGTATTTGTATTATACATTCATACTTGTGTAGCATCTGCTTAAAATCATGGATGATCATTGGGGTTTTATGTCTTAGAGACCCCTTTTAGCCTTTTGACATTTGCATATAAATTACAGACATGGCCCCACATTCTACATTTATATGGGTGCTAAATTGCCAATGGTTCCCCCCACTATCAAGGAGATGCTAAACAGTTTCACCACTCGCTTCTCCCCATCGAACTTCAAACACATTCCAAAGAGACGTAAATGACCCCCGGTAAGCCAGGCACCATCGGCCTGGCTGACCAGCAAAATACACCATGCTCACATACTGTAACACACACACATAAGGACATTTTCTTTATTTAGACTATAATCAATCAGTTACAAATGTATCTGGTATATGCATGTGTTGTCTGTATGTTTCCCTATTATATTAGCCTAGTTACAACTCTTTATTTGTATTAGTTAGACTCTCAATGCTTATATTCAGGTGTATGAATGTATCTCTGGTTTAATATCTTCTAGATGTTTCTTTCTTGGTATCAAAATGATCTGCTCTTTATTCCTCAAACAATGATGTACACTATGTGATCGTGAAATGCATCATACTATTTGTACTATATTTTGGGTAAAACTGCACCAATCCTCCAAACCGGCCATAAACATGCAAATGGGCCATAAATGGAGACAAAGAAAATGTCTCCCGCTCAAAAATTCACGCCTGGTAGTGGCTATTCCACCCAAAAGGTGGGCGTGACTAGGAACTATTAAAAGTCATTAACTCAAACTAATCTTTGCTCAGAAATGTCTTCTTCTTGAGACAGACACTATCCAAGACTCCTCAAAAACTCTCCTCTTGAGTTTGATTTTCCGGTTGACGATAGTAGTCCTGACAGAACCCTTATATTCACAATTGATTGCCTCTGTGTGCTGCTCACAATTCGGGGTCACTGAATGTTGAATCTTGCTACATGCTAAATTACTGATAGTATAGGAAAGCTATTGTTCCTTGGCCAGGAAAATAATCTTTCCTTGAATTGATAAATGATTATAGTGTCTGCTCGGTGAACGGACAGATCAAATAATTGTAATATTGATTCTGCTACAGTTAATTCTAAGATCTAATCTAAATATTTATTATTAATTATAACCAGTTATAATTAATTATAAATATTTCCCTTTTGAGCTAATTTGCTACACTTGTATTATATATTCTTGTAATTCATCAGATTCATACTTGTATTATATTCTTACTTGTAATATATCATATTTATACTTGTATTATAGAGTCATATTTGTATCATAACAGATTCATACTTGTTTCATATATTCTTGTAATATATCAAAATTATACTTGTAATATATCATAGATTCATACTTATAATATATCATGGCTGGCATGACAAACAGCATCTGGAAGAAGCACCGAATCGCACTGATTTCGATGGCGTGCATCCCCTCAATTTTCTTCACAAGAAGAGCCGTAGCGGAGAAGAAGACAGATGCTAACAAGGCGTACAGGAGGCCCAGCCCCGGAAACGCTGTTTTCTTTTCTGTGGATGAATATAACAAAACAGCTTAACATCACATTAATTAATAGTTTTGATTGCATAAATAAATTTTTGCTAAATGCAGACAATTCAAATACATTATCCTTGCGACCAAGGTTGAGGAAAATTCAGATTTGAAGAACTTGATCCAATTCCTATGTGTGAATTTAAATTTGGCCACTAACCACAGTAAGTAAAATTAGAATGACAGAAAGAAGAATTTACTACTGAATTGCAAAACTGGAGTTCGAATTTCTGTAAGTTCATTCAAACCTTTTTTTTTTTTTACTGACAGCAGAATTCACAACAATATTATTTGCATTTAGGTACTTCAAGCTTACATTGCTCCAATGGTGAGAAAATTCCTTATTACGAATTTACATCAAGTTCAAAAGACATTTTTTTTTTTTTTTAATGCTTTTTATATATAACAGTGCCAAATTACCATGGTAAATGGACTTTTTATTCACTGGAGCACCATATGAAAGCACTTTAGCACCACAGTCTTTGTACACAAACCGTTTGCACAAATGATGGAAATGAGACATGAGAAGTACACAGCATGATTTGGCTTTGTGGGGAGTGATCTGAATTTTGATCTTGATGTGGAATGACATGGAGGGAGCAAAACAGCATGAATTTCAACACACTGTTGGTGATTCTGTTTAACTTTGACACTGAAGTGATATGAAATGTGGCAGCAATGATTACACAACCAAGCGCAACTTTACTACCTGTCGGTGAGCTGAGCTCATGTTCAATCAGGTTGTGTGGTTGCCAGCATTGGATAAATGCCAAATTGTATCAAATGTCCCTTGAGGACCTGGCCTCACACAAAGATCGTGAGCCCTGGAACACAACACATACTCAACAATACAGGTTTGAGTTAAAACAAACAACTTCACCTGACTGTTTAGAGAGAACACTGGAAAGAAAAAAGATACTGTTTCCTGGTGTGATTCACAAGTAGTAGTTCCCACAAAGCTAGTACTGTTCATAATGATAAGGATTTCTGATTAACCTCTCCCTGTGAAAATATGTAATCTGCTATTTTCTTTGTGTAAGATGACAAGATGACAACCTAAAATTACAAAAGCACTTTAAGAAATACAATGGAAATACCAAGTACATGATACTTGAATATGGTAATCATTTAGTACCATGGTGTACAATATATCAAAGTATCATGGTAAAACAACTGGATATGATCACTGTAGCAAGCTTCTATAGTGTTTTGTAAGGATGTACTTGCCTGGTCATACAGTATGAAAAGCAGCCAAGTCTGATACAGTGTAAAGTGTTCTCCCTTCAAAAGTTACCATGGTAACCAGTTTCCAATAACAGAGTGTTACAGTTGGGTTCCGGAAGTAAAAATCCCATTAATTTCTCCATTGGGGAACCAATTTTGAACGACTGTACTTATAAACCTCTAAAGACAGATTTCTTAAACTTCTGAAATCCAGACTACTGAAAAGTGGATGGGACATGTTGTACTTTATTGTACGACAGTACACACAATTGTGGTTAATTAGCCACCACTGTCATCAAAAATACATAAATAAATTCCTTAAGAACTGAACAGTAGAAATAATAACTGAATAAACTTTATTTTTGGATGACAGGTGGCTATAAGTAACCACCGTTTATTTTAAAGGCGGAAACTATGGTTACTGTGGTAACTGTGTGTAAGGGGCTTGATACAATGTAACTGTTCTGTCAGCTTTTATAAAAAGAAGTTGCCATGGTAACTCTGTCATTTATTCCACAGACACTACAGTTAATATTTACTGTAAAATCACAATAAATTGATAAGCGATTACATTCAAACAGATTAAGAAACAATCAGAAATATGTTGTGTTGGTCAAATCTGATTTACTTATGTTTCATTTTTGAGGGCATATGGCTAATACAAAGTTACCACAGATTTACTGTAGTATCTATGGTATTCTTAAAAAGACACGAATGTGTGTTAGGGGTTTGTTCACTGATGGTAGGTTTCTAATACCAAGTTACCACAGCTTTATTGTAGTTGTATCAATAATTATAGTAACTGTTGTATTTAAAGGTGGAAACCATGGTAACTGTATGTAAGGGGTTTGATACAACGTAACTGTTCTCATTAGCTTTTAGAAAAAAGTTACCATGGTAACTCTGCCTTTATTCTATATTTACTACAGTTAATTGATTCACAGTAGTATTGATGCAATTTTAAAGAAGAAACTATGGTTACCACGGTATGTAAGTGGTTTGATACAAGATTCTAGTCAGCTTTTACAGAATAAACTCTTAAAAGTTACCATGGATCATCCTGCCATCACTTACAAAACTTAACCATGGTTTTACTACAAATACATGGTTTTTATAGTTAAACCATGGTAACCACAAATTAATCATGGTTTTGCTACAGTAACCACAGTTTAACCATGGCATTTGTAGTAAAACTGTGGTTACACAAACGGTAATCATCAATACACCAAAAAAAAAAACATGGTTACTACACTTTTACTATAATAAACCCCTAGTTAATTTGCATTGGTTCATTTGGTCCATAGCTACTACAGCTCAAAACTGTCAAGTCATTGTAAATTAATATGGGGTTTCCTTGTTTAAGAAACATTTGAGAAAAGATCAAGATACATTTTAGTATGGCAGTTCGCTATAATACCAAGTTATCGTAAATTTATTATAGTAGTATCAAGTAATTACCTAAGTAATTATTAATCAAATATTTAAAATGCGTAAACCGCGGTTACTATGGTGAACGTAACTGTTCTCGATAGCTGTGACACTGTAACAGTGTCCTAGAGGTCAAACACAGGTGTAGAACTAGAAACAGAGAAGAAATAGATGGATCGGAGATCAAATTCAAGATCCATGTCTTTAATAAATGACATCGTGTAAGAGTTAAGCTCAGTTTACCTTTTTGAACTGTGTTTGCCCCTGTGTCCTCCTCACCATCATCATCATCCTCATCGCGGTCAGGGTCGTTTCTCTTACAGCAAACCGGCACATAAACCCGGTAAAACGCAGTGCCATTGGCCCGCGGGCTGTCTTCTGCGTCAGCGTCAGCATCCGCGTCCCCCGGCACTTCTGATCGACTTTGCAACTCAATTTCCTCCCCAATGTCCCCATCGTCAACTTTATGACAAAGCACCCTGATGTTGTCCGCTCTATAAGGGACAACAGATAAATCTGTGTCATTATTACTCACAGAGCCATTGCGCTGTCTAATATCACCCATGACAGAGGACAACAGCTGCTTGGCATACCTTGACCACACGGTTGCCTTCGGGTAGAAATGGTACCGAGCAACAAGTTAAATAATGAACCTTGTTCAAAGAAAGAGGTGGTTGCGTTCCTCTGCCGCTAGAGGAAGACAAAATGCGTTTGAAGAGCGGTTGGACGACAATGCCGTTTCACAGCGTTTGAATCCAGAGAATAAAGGATCACACACATGTGCGTGTCTAACTTTCTTGTTATATACAAGAAACAGGGATTTAAATATAATCTGTAAATGCACTGGTATGCAATACGGTCACGTATTGTCTTGAGTCGCCAAATAATATTTAGCTTAATGAAAACAAAGCGTTTAGGAACGTTGTTGTTTCTTTCTTTGAACGTAAACATGTTTTTGACAGGTTTCATGCATGAGATTCACACTTCAACGCAACTCGTGCATCACGACAAAGCAGGCTCGTATTTTTTAAAGGTTTTATTGGTTCTAGCAAAAAAAACAAAACAAGTACCAGTAAACAACTAAACTTCCTTCCTACATTACCTCAATAATTGAGCTAAATCTAAGTTTATTGCATTCTGATTATTGGAAGAAATTGTTGAGTCATATAACAAGCTTCAAGTCTATCACACCAAATGTGGTTAAACAGGACGACTTTGTTTAAAAAAGTTAAAAATGGCTTTTTACATCACTGTAAAAATGTAAACAGTTTATTTGGCTGATTAAGTCAACAGTTAACAGATTTGACCTTTTTTGTTTCCTTATTATACCTCTTTAGTGACTACATGGCAAAGAATGAGAATATGTTAACAATAGCTTTTGTTAAAAGGGACAAAAAAAACAGGAAAAATTAAAAGTGCAGAACAGATGGTGACAACAGAGAAAGACACAAAGGACGTTTCTAGAGAGGCATTCATCCGGAATTATTATTTTTAGCGCTAGGCTAGATCATGCATGTAGTTTAACAATAGGCTCATCTGTGTCAGGGTCTGGTTCTCTGTGCTTTCAATCGGCACTCTTTAACTGCTTAGGTCGATCATCAAGTGCTCGTAAATCTGCGTCTTCCCTTTAAAGCTGGACGCCAGCAGGAACTCTCGGTTGTCAATGGACATCAGTGAGAATGCTCTTGGCGCCTGGACGTTGAGCTCCTGGAAGTGCACGAACTGGCCCTTCTTGGTGTCCCACTGATAGACCTGGGTTAGTGAGTAGTCGCTGCCTAGGATGGCGTACTGCCAGTTGCCGATGGAGACAGGCTGGAAGACCATGGATCCCCGCGAGGGCATTGTCTGTATCTCTGTGAACATAGAGCCGTCCCACTTCATCACCTTGGAGTCACCAATGAAGCGCGTCAGACAGACAAACAGCTCCCCCTTCACCTTGAAGTGTTTGACGGCGTAGACGTCCTCCATCTCTGGAATGTCCGTCCGTCTGTCGAACTGCTTCTGGCTCTTGCTCCACTGGTAGATAACGGGCCGCTGCGAGCTGCTAGACAAAATAAGGTGAGGCTTGCCTGCGATATCAAGATACTCCACGTCCGTGTCACGGTACCAGGGATGGAGAGACTGGTGAGAGTAGAAGCCATTGCCGTTCCACTTGTACACCGTGGTGGAGCCGGCCTTCGAGCTGTCCGCTATCACGAAGAAGAACTCGCCGTCCACACGGAAAGTCTCGATGTCGTTGGGTTTTCTGATTTTCAGGATGTCGATGTCCTGGATTTTGATGAATTTATTGGCAGAGCTGTCCCTTTTGTATATGTGAGAGCCGCCGAAAAGTTGGGCGACTACGATGAAAAGGTGATTATCGATGACCATTGGCTTGCACACAACCGTGGAAGTGCCTGTAATGACATTCACAGAAATGTAATTAATCAATCAATCTCTGCATTAAAATGGACCTTTTTAACCAGTTTTTGTGGCTCTGCAATTGGGGGATTCGGACCAGAGCAGTATTGCACTCTGGGTAGGAGGTGTGATGGGTGATGCTCACTTTCTATGGTGTCATAAGCTCTGAACTCCATGTTGACGTGGTCCCATTCCATAAAGCTGCATTTTCCAGAGAAAGGCTGGGCATATACGACATACTGATCATCCCCAAACGTTAAGGCCTCCACAGATATGGACTCAAATGCAAGGGTTTTCTTTAAAGCAAACTCTGCAACAAACAAAGATTTGTTTTTAGAGCCTTTCTTGCAGATCATTATCATGCAGATCAGATATATTAATAACACCAACTTGCCATTACTATAAATATCAGTGCTATCCACATACAAACAGTGCACTCACAAAAAGCAATCTCAACAGTTTGATTGTTTATATTGTTGCCACACAAAGTAAACCATTCTGTTGCCCAGTTCTAAACTGCTAAATGTAAACAGTTAGGAATTAAGATATTAGAAATATTTACAACATCAAGTTTGTTTGTAAAGCGGCTTTGAAACAATTTGTATTGTAAAGTGCTATACAAATACAATTGACTTGACTTGGCTTGGCTTGGCTTGGCTTGACTTGACATGTTTGTTAGCTTTGAGGCTATTATTACGATATATTAGCCAGGCCAATTTATCATTTATATTTAATCATTTTGGGATTATCGGCCTATAACTGTGTCAAATGGCATGTTGTGTGTGTGCGTGTGTGTGTGTGCAATAAATGTTTGCGATGTAAATTTGGCCATTTAGCATACATTTTATTTTTTTATCATAAAATTATATTACATACATCAGCCATTGTGCTCTCTGGCAGTGTTATTTTAGTATCATTGATATACTAATATAGTTTTTGTTAATATTTTGAATTAGATTTGATTTTAATATTTGATGTTTTTACTTTAATTTTAGTTAAAGTTTTAGTAATTTAGTTTAATAGTAATTTTAAATATATCTATATAGTTTTAATGAATTTGATTTATTATAGATATAATTATAGATATTTTAATACTTAAAAAATTAGAAATATTGCTTTGGCAACTAGCTGAAATAAAAAGAAAATATGTTTTTTTATGTTTTATTTTATTTTAGTGAATGTTTATTTTATTTCAAGTAACAAAAACATTTTATTTTTGTTTTAGTTAATAAAATGTTTAATTTTAGTTATAGTTTAATAATAACCCTGCTCTCTATATTTATCATTATTACCAAATTGGCCATTAAAAACATCAGCCTGCTACTATTTGAGATTTACTTTACACATGTAAAATTTACAATCATTCTCTTTTGGGGAAATTGAACATAAATAATGATGAATGTCGTGTGATGTAAACTAATTTTAAAGGTAATGCCTTTTATTTATATGCAATCAGGCACGTGCACACATAGACAACAAAGGGGGCTTGAGCACCTGCCCTTTTTCAAATAAATGAATATATGTATATATACGTGTGCGTGTGTGTTTCTGTTTGCGCACAGCTTTCCCCGTCAAACAAATAAAAAAATCTAAATATCAGGTCGGGTCGGGAAATGTTGAGACTCTGTTGAGTTCCGATGCCTTTCTCCCCTCTGCGTCTCCGCGCAGCACAGCAGTGTAGCACACATTGATCGGCACATGCGCATCACAGACAGACAGAGAGCAGCAGAAGTGAAGCCCTCCCTCCCTTTCCAGTTGCATTTGTCTTGCTGTGGAGGTGAGTGGTGATGAACAAAAGAGCTACCAGTGCCTCGAATTTACAGCTAATTATCCAAAAGACAAGTCTTGCTAACATCCATGACTCATGAGAGAGCTGCCATGTAAGTTAGCTAAAGTTTAGCTAAGGCAATAGGAAGTCTATAGGTTAGACCAGTGCACGTTCTTTCACTGCATGATTCAGTTTATTAAAATGCATTTAGAATGATCACAAAATTCAAGATATGGGGGGCAGAAATTTATATATTTATATCATTTCATATAGTTAATCAGTATCACACGAAGACTGACGTTTTTTCCACCAAAAAGCAGCATGATTACAAATATATTGCAATATATATTACAAAGATATTGATTTTATACAGCAGTTCAATAAACAAGAATTTAATATTAAGACACTTACGTTTTAGACACAATATTGACTGTCTTTGCTCTTTTTCGCCAACAAATATAATTTTAATTTGCATCTCTGAGCAACATGACGCTGTTTTGTTCCTGAATGAATCAACCGTTTAAATGATTCAGTTCAATCGCAATGGCTCACTTAATAACAGTGACTTGCTGCCACCTACTGGCGGTTTTAATTTCACATTTAAAATATCTCTTCATTTAAAAAAATAATAAAATATCAGTAATCAACATTTTGTTTAAAATATCAAAACAGTATTAATGCATTTGTAAATGCAGATTAAAACATTCATGTCCTGCATTAAACAGTGTAAATGCATCTAAATGGCACTTCTAATGCAGCTTCTGTGTTTCCTCTGCATTGCAAAGCTGAATTTTGTCAATACTGATTTCATATGCTTGCTAACAGCCCGAATGACTTATAAAATCAGTATTGGTAAAAATGCCCATAAAAGGTATACATCAATTTAAACTTATTGGAAAAGATTAATTTCTATCACTGCTGTGAACTGATCACCACACAGAATATGAAGAATATCAAAAATTTTAGCAGTCAGCTGTCCACGGTAGTCCTTATCAACCTTATCCTTATCAGATATCAGCACAATAACACACTCAGAAAAATGTTGTCTAATTATCGTTATCGATAAAATCCCAGAAAATATCGAGATATATTTTTTGTCAATATCGCACACCCGAAAAATAACGAAAAATAATTAGAGGTACCCTTTTTTCCACTTGAGCCCCATGCCCCTCAAAATGTCTGTGCACGTCCCTGTACGCAATGCATTTCTAAGCATTTCAGCAGATATGTAGGATCAGCTTATTTCATAGCCAGAATCTGTTATACTCAGGACAGACTAGTGCACATTTACCTGCTGTAATGCAGTCAAAGGACTGAGGCACTAGGTCATTTATCTTCTTCCCTTGATAGGGTGGAGGCCCACTGCAGTATAACTGATCCACCGTTGCATTAGTGCTGTACATCCATTCCACAAGCCACTTCAACTTACAGTCACAACTGAACATGTTTCCTCTGAGATCCCTGCTCAGTGCATTTACAGATTATATTTAAATCACCGTTTCTTGTATATTATATAACAAGAAAGTTAGACATGAGCAGCAAAATACATACACTTTTGTTAAGGCATCCATTCCTTTGAAAATATCTTTGGGCAACGTCTCAAGATTATTGTAGGCAAGACTCCTAACAAACAAAAATAATTAGGTAACACTTAACAATAAGGTTTTTTATTGTTAACATTAGTTAACTACATTAGTTAACAAACTAAGAAAGAACAATATTTGTACAGAATTTATATATTTTTTTAGAATTTAGATTAGAATTAGTATCTAATAACATCATCAAAAAATTACATATTAATATATATACAATAATAATAATTAAATCAAATATTATAATAATATATTTGTATTTTATAGTTCAAAAACGATATACTCACAGGTGAATGAGAGATTTCAAACCTCTAAAGGCATGGGGCGAAAGCGACTCAATTTTGTTGTTTTCGATAAATCTAAAACAGAGTGTTGCATTTATATTGAAACTGAGTGGTCATCTAAAAAGACTGAATGATGACGGTTTCAAACATAGAAAATCAAACTCACAGATATTCCAGATGTGGCAGGCCTTGGAAAGCATCTTCGTCGATGGAGTCGAAAGAATTGGCTGTAAACAATCTAAGAAGTCATGGGGGGGGAAAACATAGTTCCAATGGTTTCAGAGTTTGTGACTCTAGGTTTTAAAGGAATAGTTCACCCAAAAATGAAAATGTGATGAAAATGTACTCACCCTCAGGTCATCCAAGATGGAGATGAGTTTCTTCATTGGAACAGATTTGGAGAAATGCAGCACTGCATCACTTGCTCACCAATGGATCCTCTGCAGTGAATGGGTGCCGTCAGAATGAGAGTCCAAACAGCTGATAAAATCATCACAATAATCCACACCACTCCAGTCCATCAGTTGCGTGTTTGTAAGAAACAAATTTGAATTGCATACGAGTCCTCTGTGCATATTGTGAAGAAGTAATCTTGGCCGAGTCAGGAGAGAAATATAAACAGATCAAGCAATGTTTACAAGTGAAAACAGTCTAAACAAAGAACAGTTCTAAACAAATATGACAGTGGATTTTGATGTGAGAGGATAACAGGGGATGGACTTTTTCACTGGAGGAAGCGTTATTATGGATTATGGTTTAAAGTTAAAACATCTCAATGATGGATTTGTTTCTTACAAACATGCAGCTTTTCACTTCACAAGACATTAACTGATGGACTGGAGTGGTGTGGACTACTTGTGGATTGTTGTGATGTTTTTATCAGCTGTTTGGACTCTCATTCTGACGGCACCCATTCACTGCAGAGGATCCACTGGTGAGCAAGTGATGTAATGCTACATTTCTCCCATTCTGTTCAGATTAAGAAACAAACTCATCTACATCTTGGATGGCACGAGGAGGGTGAGTAATTGTTCAGCAAACTTTCATTGTTGGGTAAACTATTCCTTTAAGGAATGTTTCATTTGTTAACACAAAAAACTACAACCACATTTGTGACCACAAATATTTTTCCCATCAGAAGTTAAATCAACCCCAGACATCAGTATACGGCAATCAGTTTCATCCTGATGAGCACAAAATAACATCACCATTCTAGTTCTCCCCGCATACCTTTCTGTTTTTAATTATATTGCTGAAAGACCCCTGTCACACATAGTTATTTCTAGCCTAGCATATACTCAGCCAGACTGGTATTTTCACATAATCTTCTTATAAATTCTTTCCATGTGTGCCGATGACAAGTTATTGCACAATCAGACCAAACACCGGGTGAAAAGATAAAAGACTGGTCATATTTAGCATAATACTGCCAGTCAGATTTGCATTTGCTATTGTGTGAGTTTACATTTGCATAGGAACGCATTACTAACTTACTGCCTTCAAGCTTTTCCGTTGCAGATTTCTAAGGTTTTGTGTTTTATAAACTGGGAGCAAGTCGGTGTGACATTATAAAACTGCAGAGATTTTCTTATTTGTTTATTAAGGGGACAGGGCCATGTCCCTCACAGAGCTGCTGCATTGCATAATATTCACACCAATTTAAAGGCTTTGAGAAATTAGACACGCTGAAGAATGGCTGTTTTAAAGGGGGACGGGCTGTAATTGCTTAGAACAAACATTGGACCACTTAACATGGTGATCACCCCATTCCAATAAAGAAAAAAGCACACATAACACTGACAGAAACTCACAGAAGCTGAAGGGATGGCGTGTGGAGAAAGCTTCCCCCTGCAATCTCAGTGAACCCAGACTTCACAAATGATCTGTTAGGAAAAGAATCAGTGCAATTTTAGATGTAAACAGTGCACGCATACAACACATGCATATTCAGAGATGTATACATTCGAGTTGTTATATTAATCCGTACTGTCCTGGAATATGATGTAAAGTGTAGCAGGACACTTACAGTGAGACGACATCGGGAGGGAAGCTGTGTGGCACAGATCTCACATTTTCACACAAGGCGTTATCTTTGGTGCACGTGCATCCAGAGGGGCATCTGGGCTGTTTGCCTCTTCTGCTCTCCGCTAACAGCAGTAGTGTGGCAACCCAGAGCAGAAAAGTGTATCCTCTTGTGCTCCTGTGTGCATATCCCATTCTGTCCCGGTGTGTTGCTGAGTGCCGCGGGCGGCTGTGGTGTGTTCGCCGGTGATGAGTGCTGGTCTGCTGCTCGCCTCTCTTCAGTTGTGTCCGTGTGATGAATGTCTATGTCTCAGTGTGCCAGGCGCTCATCCAAACGATTCGTTCTGCTATAACGAAAATATCCAGCGGGCTCAAATTGCCTTAGTTGCATGTAGATTTTATTAATAAACCCGATTTCTTTTTAAATTGTGACGCTGTGAAAATGAAAGTGAAAAAAAAAAAATCTAATGTTTTCCTTGGCGACGCGGGGTAAAGCATCAAACAATTTCTTCAGATCCTGGGAGAATCCCTCTTTTGCATCATGATGTACCAGCTGCCATCCAATGGTGTTATTACTGTGAATGCGCATTAACCATAGCCATGAATAAGTGATAGTGAGAATATTCATGAGGCTCTGGAGTGATGCACCTGCGCCCCTCAAGCAATCAGAAAGAGATAGGAAAGAAATACTATGCTGTTATATGTTTTATTGTTATTCTTTTATAGCATTACTTTAAATAAAATGATTACCATAATTCAATTGCGTTATATTTATAATGTAGGCTAAATAGCATTTGTAAATAGGCTATATATATATATATATATATATATATATATATGTGTGTATGTATATGTATGTGTATTATATATGTATGTATATATATATATATGTATACACACACCTTGCTACGTGTACTGTGTTAGGCTAACCGAGACTTGTCATTTGCACTTATATATTGTTGCTCTTTTGTTAGTTTTGACTGCTTTTATTGTCCTCATTTGTAAGTCGCTTTGGATAAAAGCGTCTGCTAAATGACTAAATAAATAAATAAATAAAATATAAATCATGCATTACAAACGGAAACTATATTCTCTATTATTATTCATTAAATGTATTATTATTATAGCTAGGCTATATAATATAAATGTAATATTATAGAGTTAACACTTCACTTTTAGACTTTTAGTTCAATACAGTGATTATTTAAGATCAATAGATCACACAGGCCTATACAGTATAATTTAAATTATTCACCAAATTATTATATTATTATTAAATAGCTTTACGTAATGATTTTCCTTTCCGGTAATTGTTGGAAGCCCATAAGGCTTGTTTCTTTGTTGCATTGCATGTATTTTTCACATGGACATTTGAGAACCGTAAAGTGCCTGTCCTGATCACCGCAACTCTTTCAGTGCTTTCATTTTTAGCATTTTTTTTCCCGATTAAAAGACCAGTTGTTCTATTTTTGAGAAAATGGCTCTTCGCCCCCGTACCCCCTATCATTTCCTGTCACTGAATCTTTACCCATTTCCGATGAAAACAAGTCTGAATTATGATGCGAACAATAAAGTCCGTTTGAAACAAAGAACACATGCAACTAAAATCACACGCAAGTCCTGTCTATTTGCCCACTTTTATAGTTTATCTGTAACACATTCACATTAAGACCTCTTGTTTTATTTTTAAAGCATGTAAATAACAGTTCTTCCGAATGCACCGTAACATGACATTCACACAAACTGAGACAACAGAATAGCCTTAATAGACGCAGCACAACGTAACCAGACATCACATTGTTAAATACATTAAAGGAATAGGATTAATCAGGAGAATTTAGGAATGTGTGTGTTTTGGTTTAAAAAAAAAAAATAATAATTTTTATATATAAAATATAGGTAAATATAAATATGTATTTATTAGTGCTCCACACTCCAGTCCAGTTGGTGGCGGTAAATGCACCAGAAGTTGGTTTGCCATCCGCCATAAAACGTTATTAGAAGAAGAAGAAGAAGAACCAGACATCACACAGACTGGAGGACGGGACCATAGACATATAAATACTATTATTTATTATGTCTATGGACGGGACTGCCTTCGTTTTGGTCACGTGGTGTATACGTCATCACTTCGCGCCCGTCTTTTAGATTCAGCTGCATACAAACACAGATGAGCGGCGTGGATAAAACTGCTCTAGACCTTGTGAAGGTAGTTATGAATCACAAGTCATGCACGGGAGATTTGATTTAACTGTTTGCGTTGTGATGCTGCGACCGCTTGCCACGCATGACTTGAAAGTATACATTATTTTTTGTCTCATATCGCACATTGATCATCCATGGCGCGTTATTTTTCACGGTATTAATCCCAGAACAGATTTGCTTGTGCTCGTGTCAATTAACACTGTAAAGCCTGACATATGTGTTGCATGATATTTAATGAATCCGAATTTTATGGCTCATATAGTATGATATAGTGAGAATATGGTGCTCAACCTGAGGAAAAATGCATTTGCTTATGTTTATATAAAAGTAAGATGCAATTCTGATAGCTTGTAATGTAAATCAATGAGCTCTTTATAACAGTATAGCAGGCAACTTGAATAAAATCCATATAAATATCAGTTGTCACTCTATTTTCCCCAGTAATATGTTTTAATAAGATAATATTTTATGCTTTGTTTTATGATCAAACTCTGTAGATTTTATTGTGGGGGCAAGACATATACAATGATTCTAAAAGGCCTTTTTCTTGCTAAAAAGTATGAACTGTCAGTCAAACAACAGAAGGCATGTAGTAGATTGAGGAACAACAGGTTTTTCAGCAAAATTTTCATAATTTTGATCATTTAGAAGCCTTAGAAATTCACATCAAATATGATACAGTGAATGATGAGTTAATGCATTATACGGTGTAATTATCTATAATAATTAATATCATGTTTTTATATATATTTGTGTGTGTGATTTAACCAGGTAACGCTTTTTCAGTTATTAGATGGCATGTTTATTTCATGGGTCTAGTTGTTGTCCTAAAGTCAGAAACTCAGTAGTCAGTGTGAGAACTGACCTTCACGTGATGTGATGCTGAGTGTTGTATTTCCTCTGCTGTGCTGAAGCGGCATCATGGCATCTGACTCAGTATATTTAAAGTGAAAGTGACGTGACATGTGGCCAAGTATGGTGACCCATACTCGGAATTAGTGCACACACACAGCAGTGAACACACAGACACCGTGAACACACACCCGGAGCAGTGGGCAGCCATTTTTGCTGCGGCGCCCGTGGATATTGAAGGTGGGAGAGAGCGCTGTACATTCACTCCCCCCACCTACAATCCCTGCAATCTCAAACCGCAACCTTTGGGTTACGAGTCTGACTCTCTAACCATTAGGCCACGACTTCCCACACATATCACCCATAAAGTTGACAAAGTACTTTCTCTCTTAGCTGTGGTCGGCTGCTCACCTTCCATTCACTTTTCCTCCAGTACTTGTTGAGTATATCACCTGCCACGAAATCACTGTGTTGACATTTGTGCTGTAATACCAAAATATTGGTGGTGATTCTATGCATTTTGTGTTATCAGTGTCCTGTTATTGTAGTATGATCATTTTACATACGCAAGAAGTGCTCACAATACAAAGTTTCAGACATCATTTAGAACAATATAAGCTAGAACAGGAAGGCTTTAAAGAAATGTGAAATAAGATAATGCTGCGTTGTGTTCTGTTTTAGGTCCATGGAGGTGGAGGGTATGACTCAGATTTCAGTGATGATGATGGTGGTGGTGGAGGGCAGTCCAAATATGGTGAGAATAGGTGAGAGTTTGTTTTATATCTTTAACAAAACATACCATAGTTTTTGGTGTCATATTTTTGGGGACCATGGTAATACCATATTTTCAAATATGTAGTCCATGTAGTATGCTACATTAAAGGAATAGTTAAAAATGAATTCGCTGAATGCTGAACATTTACTCACCCTCAGGCCATCCAAGATGTAGATGAGTTTGTTTCTTCATCAGATTTGGAGAAATGTAGCATTCCATCACTTGCTCACCAATGGATCCTCTGCAGTGAATGGGTGCCGTCAGAATGAGAGTCCAAACAGCTGATAAAAACATTACAATAATCCACACCACTCCAGTCCATCAGTTGTCTTGTGAAGTGAAAAGCTGCATGTTTTTAAGTAACAAATCCATCATTAAGACATTTTTAACTTCATACAGTCCTCTATCCATAATATTGCTTTATCCAGTGGAAAAAAGTCCTCTTGTCTGAATCAGGAGAGAAATATGCACAGATCAAACACCGTTTGCAAGCGAAAACAGTCCAAAACAGTTCTAAACAAATGTGTTTTTAGATTTTGATATGAGAGGACAACGGGACTTTTTCACAGGAGGTAGCACTATTATGGATTATGGACTCAAATGTTAGCCAGAAGAGACAGTTTCAGTTAAAACACCTTAATGATGAATTTGTTTATTACAATCATGCAACTTTTTGTTTCACAAGATGTTAATAAATAGACTGGAGTGGTGTGGATTGCTTGTGGATTATCGTGATGTTTTTATCAGCTGTTTGGACTCTCATTCTGACGGCACCCATTCACTGCAGAGGATCCTTTGGTGTAAGTGATGTAATGTTCAATTTCTACAAATCTGTTTATATCTTGCATGGCCTGAGGGTGAGTACATTTCCAGCAAATTTTCATTTGGGTGAACTATTCCTTTAAGTTTTAAGGGGTATTTAATGATGAAAAGGTAAATCTGTAAAATGAATTTTAATGCAAAATAACAGCATATCATTAGAAAGAATGCAATTAGCACTAATTGTTGGTGCTTTCACTTTAAGTGCTGGTCGTCTTGTGTGTGTTTGGTTTTAGGGAAGGTAAAGACGAGCTGTTACAGAAGCCATTCCAGAAAGGAAAACACACCAAGGTGGCCCATAAAAATGTTGCTGCCCATGAATGGGACAGGTACAGGTCACATCCATCAAAAATAGCAAAATAGTCCATAAAGTCCAGTATGTGTGTGTACTGAAATCAATGTTGATTTTTTCCTGACAGAGAGGAAGCCAGAAACCGACGGCAACACCTGATATCAATGAACGCTGTATCCTGTCAATGGCTATTTTCAATACATGTTGTGACAGTGGCAGTTTTTAAATGGCTTTCTATTTCTTTACAGTTCATTTTGCATTCTATGTTTCCAACTCTAGAGACTGAATGAGACTATTTATTTGTGACCCTGGAGCACAAAACCAGTCTTAAGTCGCTGATATTTTGTAAATTTCCTACTGTAAATATATTAAAACTTAATTTTTGATTAGTAATATGCATTGCTAAGAACTTCATTTGGACAACTTTAAAGGCGATTTTCTCAATATTTTGATTTTTTTGCACCCTCAGATTCCAGATTTTCAAATAGTTGTATCTCGGCCAAATATTGTCCGATCCTAACAAACATACAACAATGGATTGACCCTTATGACTGGTTTTGTGGTCCTGGGTCACAATTTGTATTGAGTTTAAAATACATAGAGTGTTGAAAGTGCATTTTTAGTGAAGTTTGCCCAGTAGTATTAATAATCTTTTCCTCATCATTTCGTTTGAGTGGTAAAACATCCTTAACAGCATTTTGTAAGTTTGAGCGTCATAAGAAGTTTGTCAGCGATTACATTCTGTACTATGGCGGAAAGATTGAGGACTTCAGGAGATCCATGTGAGCAGTTTACTTTGTCTGGCTTCTGTAGAAATACTATCAATCATTATATTTGTGTGCAAATTAAACACATGATGTGTTCAGGTAACTGGTGCAGAATTTACACACTTCAGCTTTAATTCCATTTCAGGTTAGCTGCTTTGATAGATGCTGATTGGAACTGTGTGTTTCCATCTGCAGGTCTAAAGATAAGACAGATCTGGATGTGGTGAGAGAGAACCACCGTTTCCTGTGGAGAGAGGAGGATGAGGAGGATATGACATGGTAATGTCTGCTTTTCTCTGTTTGGGGTTCATTTTAATCTTGAATATTGTTCTTGACCTCTGCACAGTCACCTTAAGATACAGCTTCTGAAATGTTTAGGGAGAAAGAGCTCGCAAAGAAATACTACGATAAGCTCTTCAAGGAGTACTGTATCGCTGACCTCAGCAGATACAAAGAAAATAAGGTTTGTCTTGTCTTTTTAACCTTGTAACGCCTGACATATGAAATGATATGATTCGAAATGGAACAGTTTATTGAACCTTTAGACAAAAACTTTTGCATAATATGTGTTTTGTTTTGTATTGTATTTGAAACATCACGCTTTGCCTATATGTGACCCTGTCAAATAGTTGTATTTCGGCCAAATATTGTCCTATCATAACAAACATACAACAATGGAAAGCTTATTTATTCATTTTGAAAAATTGACCCTTATGACTGGTTTTGTGCTCCAGGGTCACATATAGTATAGTATAGTTTTGATCATGTTGATCATTTAGAAGCCTTAGAAATTCACACATCAAATATGATACAGGCTCTATAGGATTACATGTTTCTTATGCTAAATTCTTTTCACAACTTGTTATTTTTTTAGTATCTTAAATGCTCTATCATTTCAGATTTACTGAATTATAACTTTTCTGTTAGTTTGGATTTAGGTGGCGCGTTGAAAATGAAGTAATATCTGGAAAAGGTAATTCAAGGCCATTCTATTCTTCTATACTTGTATATAAAAAATAATATGGTCACACTTTAGTTTAGGGACCAATTCTCACTATTGACGAACTATTAACTGTGACTTTTTCTCAATAAACACCTAATTTGCTGCATATTAATAGTTAGCATAGTAGTTGTGCAGTTTAGGTATGGTGTCAGATTAAGGGATTTAAGATATGGTCATGCAGAATAAGGCATTAATATGTGCTTTATACGTACCAATAAACAGCCAATATGCTAGTAACATGCATGCTAATATGCAACTAGTTAATAGTGAAAACTGAAGTGTTGCCAACAACAGTAATATGTTCACATACATCAAGTATTCTGATTGCATAATGAAATTCAGAGCAATACCAAAACAATAACGTCCTCAGTCACTAGGTGGTGATAAAGTTTTACCATGTGTAAAGTAACACTGTCATCTGACCAAACCAGGGATGGACTGGGACTGAAAGAACAGCTCTACCGGCCCATCTCAGCCAGATATAGTTTGCATTGCAAAAACAGAAGTTCATTTGCATAATAAATATTCAACATATAAGTGAACTGATCAGTTAGTTAAAGCTGCAGTACGTAACTTTTGGCGCTCTAGCGGTTAACAAACAGAACTGTGTGCGTCTTGCGGAAGAACATTGAGTACCCACCCGAACCAGTCTAAATAGTCCTAATATAAACACTTATTATAGGTGTACCGTAGTGATTCAGGTCTCAGGACAAGCCAAAAACACGGTTTGGAAAATGGATTCATGGTGTACTTGCTTATTATATACATTTTTAAAATTTTGAACACAAAATATTTACGGACTGCAGCTTTAAGAATCCAGTGTTCACAGCTGAATGCACTTGTATTCCCATTGAAATAGGCACATTTGATTACACTTTCATTTCATTTAAACAAATTTTCTTCAAAATGTACGAAAGTATGAAGTTTGTTTGTTTAGTCTTAACAGACTAATTAATTGCAGATTATTATTGTTTGGCATATAGATTATAATATGACAGTGACCCAGTTGTAAGGTGGTGAGTTCGTCTGTGTCATAACGAAAATCAATGATTTTGAATGCTGTTGTCTCTGGGCCGTGGTTCACAGTTAAGCTATCTTGGTAAGCAAACAATGGTGAAGTATGTGTAACAATCAGCGGAATTACACAAACAAATCAATGAAGAGGCCTTTAAATGATTGATGAAATGATCGTACACTGTCACACTTATCATGAGTCACAGCCCATCTGCTGTCAGGCATCTCTCACACCCTGAGCCGCAGATGAACCACCGCAAGCTGGTGGCGTGATGCAACATGACACACACACATACACACACACTTACACAAACTCCTATTCTGGACCAGTGTTATTTTAGAATTACTGTATTTATATACTATTATAGTTTTAATTAATTAGCATTTATTTTAAAATTTTAGTGTAATTGTTAGTCATTTATATTATCCCATACATTAGTATGTGTCCTGTTTACTTTTTTATTTATTTATTTTTTTTTTTTCAGAGCAAATGCATTTTGCAATGTCATGCATTTTTCTATTTGAAGATTATTTGAAAAAGACATGTTTTAAAATAAGGTAAAACAGCTCAAATATTTATTTCTTAAAGTATTTTCTATTTTAATTTGTTACCGTAGCAACTTTTATTTAAGAATCAGGGTTTCCACAGTATTGGAAAACCTAAATATATGAGGAAATGTCTAATATATGTGTAATATATATAAAATATATGTGTAATTTGTAAATCTGTTCCATTGAAATTAATGAAATTATACATTTTTCTAATTTTTAGAAATTTAATTTCTATTTTCTAAAATATTTGATCAAACGAGGAAATGGTATTTGCGAATAAAAAAATAAATATAATAATAACAAACATAAAAATCACGTCTTCACAAAACTACTGGGAAATTCAGTTTCTGAAACTTCTGGAATGACAGAATTAAATTATTATTATTATTTACATTTATTTTATTTAGTTGTTTTTTTTAATATACTGTAACTCCTAGTTTCTTTAAGTAAAAAAAAAAAACAAAAAACAAAAAAGCAGCTTTGTCAGCAGGAGTACTAGAAATATGTGGGGCCTTGAAGTCAAAAAGGTTGAGAACCACTGAACTTTAAGTATCACTATTACTATTGTACATACTTTAACATTAAACTTGGCAATGCAACCGGAGCACCATTAGGTCTACAGCTTAATGAGGAGAGTTTGATGAAGATTTCATCCTTGCACATAGTGGCATGTTTTGCATTAGTAAACACCACTCACAGTTTCTCAAGCAAATGTGAAAATCATATATGTTTTGTTACCAGCACTTTCTGTTTCTACTGCTGAGGGACATTTTAACAGGTCCCTTTAGGAGTTTGTCATGAGGAGTTCCCATCTGCTGGTCATTTTTCACAGTTTAGCATAATGAGGGCATCCCTGAGACTCCTAATGAGGGTTAACCCTGATGCTGTTTGTAAGCTTCACTGGCTTTAACAGCTTCAGTGCTGCTCACGCGAGCGTAATTGGAGAGGTTGGAGTGGCATGTACGTCATCAGAGAGACGGGGTAATTGAGTGTCTCGTTATCCGCATGTGCATTTTTTTTTCAGTCCAAACCTTTTTTCTCAGAATTGTGAGTTTATATCTTCCAATTCTGAGTTAATGTCTCGCAGTTGAGATTCTATTGTTTTTGTTGTTGTTTTTATTCCACCATGGTATTAAAAAAAGGCAATTGCAACTTTTTTGCAAATGCAAATTGGCAATTTTATCTTGCAATTTGAACTTTTTTTTCAGAATTCTGAGTTTACGTTACATTTTTTCCATCACAAAATAAAAATGTAAAAAAGGTATTTGTGACTTTTTTTAACTCACAACTCTGACTTTTCTCTGAATTGTGAGTTTTTTTTCTCACTATTCTGACTTTATATTTCACAATTGAGTTTGTCTCACAATTTTTTTTCCTTAATATTGTGAGAAAATAAGTCAGAATTGTGAGATCTAAACCCAGAATTGTGAGGAAAAAAGTCTGAATCGTAAGATAAAAAGTTACAATTACCTTTATTTCGTTTTTTTTGTTTTTTTTTCTCCATAGCAGAAATATGCATCCATACTTTTAGCAGTTCACTTTCAGCAGAAGTGTGCATGGGCTCAGGGCGATCAGGTACAGGCCAAAGCCGATCCAGACAGCACACTGTCAGAGGTGTGGGAAGCCTGGCAGAAAAACTCCCTGATGACGCACTTTTCCCTCGGCTCCAATCTGGAGCATCCCCTTGTAAGCCTGCTGGAGCTAATGTCAGCCCGCTGATATATGAGGTGAAATGTTGGCCAGGCTAAGGCCATGCGAGGAGAGTGGCTTTCGCTGTTTGTCTATCTCTTTAACCATTTCTTGTCAGTAACGGCAGCGATATCATGTGCAGCAGTTACAGCCTGTTCTCCATTTAGCTTCCCACTGGCTTTATGTTGTACATGTATTTTCATCAGGCTGAATCAGTTTAATGTAGGGGCTGGATTCACAAAACATTCTTAAGAACAAAATCCTTCATTTTCTAACATCAGAATAAAGTTGAGAATATTTTGTATTCCCAAACTACCCGCATATTCGGTTACACTATTCACTATTAACTAGTCAAGTCAAGTCACCTTTATTTATATAGCGCTTTTAACAATACAGATTGTGTCAAAGCAACTGAACAGCATTAATTAGGAAAATAGTGTCAATAATGCAAAATGACAATAGTAAACACTAATTTTTCAGTTAAAGACAGTTCATCATTGAATTCAGTGATGTCAACATCCAGCTCAGTTTAAATAGTATCTTTGCAATCAAGTCAACGGTATCGCTGGAAATGAAGTGTCCCCAACTAAGCAAGCCAGAGGCGACAGCGGCAAGGAACCAAAACTCCATCGGTGACAGAATGGAGAAAAAACCTTGGGAGAAACCAGGCTCAGTCGGGGGGCCAGTTCTCCTCTGACCAGACGAACCAGCAGTACGGAAAAATCAATTTAAGACGTAATAAAACAGACGATGAACACTATTAACAGCAATTATTATATGATGCAATCAAACTTATAGCAAAATGTGGTAGTTCTGTATGTTGTTTCAGGGTTGGCATCATCTGAGGTCCTCTGAGGGGTTGGCATCATCTCTTCTCAGGTGTTCTGGATCCAGACTGAAGCTTGTGTAACTAGTTGCTTATTGGAATGCATATTACTAGCATATTGGCTGTTTATTAGTACTTTAATGCCTTATTCTGCATGACCATATTCTAGATCTTTTAACCCTATCCAATACCTAAACATAACTACTACAACAGCTACCTTAATTTCTATCAATAAACAAATAATTAGGAGTTTATTGAGGGTAAACACTTAGTTAACAGTGATTATGTGTTCCTTAATCTGAAGTGTTACCAAATATTCTTGTGTATTTTGTTGATCCTGACAATATTGCTGTGGAAACATAATCCTATCCCTATCTAAACATAACCCTAACCATAACTTACCCCTAAAACCAGAGGGTAATTATAGGTAAATAAGAATGGTGTGGAAGCCATTAACCCTGATTCAGTGAGCCAAAACTTGACATAATAGTAAACGATCCATCATCTGATTGGTTAATTGGAATTGGATTGACAGGTGAGTAGGCGGTCCTTAATAGTTGTTTGGGACACATCAAGACACATTGTACACTATCAATATGAAATTAATGTGTTTCAGAACACCTCCAAATGTAGTTTCATATTTCAGATTACTGGACGCGTTTGATCATTAGCAATAGGATCACCGGAGACCACCTTGAGATGTTAATACTAGGTCTAAATGTGGCCTAATATATATTAATTGGGACCTGAATGTTATACAGATATGCAGTATTCTGTAAATGATAAGTGTTTGAATTCTGCAGAGTTAATGGTGCTGCTTCTCTTTGGGCCTGGTCATCAGATCTGTCGTGTATGTTCACTGTATTTCACATGTGGATATCTTGAATTACACAGGCCAGTTCCATTGTGGAAACAAGCGCTGTGAGAATAAGGAGGGTCTGAAGAGCTGGGAGGTGAATTTTGCCTATGTGGAGCAGGGGGAGAAGAGGAACGCCCTGGTGAAGCTGCGTAAGTACCAGAGCCGCACTGACCACGTGGCCGACAGATAAAATCGAATGAATTTGTTTCAGCCTTTTCAAATATTTATATATTGTCATGATATTTTCAAGGTCTGTGTCCAGAGTGTTCCTTCAAACTAAACTATCATCACAGGTAAGATCATTCAGCCATTACAAACACAATTACATGTTCAGATATTCTTAGACCTGGAGACCTTGACTCTTAAACTGGGCTATCTGTTCCAGGAGAAAGGAAGTAACGGTAAAGAAGAGACCGCAGTCGAAAGAGAATCTGGACAAGTCAGTCTCAAAGAAATCCAGAAAGCAGAAGCGCAAAGACAAACGCAAACACAAAAAAAGGCGCAAAGGCAAGCACGTTTTCAATGCAAATCAAGATCCCAAACATTTCCAAGACGTGGAATTGTTGGAAAAACATTTAATTGTATGTCTATGCTAAACTTTGACTTGTTTTTGTGGTGGTGTTTTGTACTCTAGTTAAAGAACTTCAGAGAGCATGTCAATGACTTTTACACAGAAAGGTTGTTGTCCTAAAGAAGATTAAGCCCATTTGTAAAATACTAATCATTTGGGAACTAAATGGGAATGAAAACCTGGTTTAAATTAATGGTTTATGTTGCCCAAACATGCTTGTTAAATAAACCACATTTTTTTCTGTACAGAATACTCATATTCAAATTCGGAAGAGTCCCAGGGTTCAGATAAAGGTATACATACCCCTTTTTTCACCAAAAATGACTAATGGCCGTCATCTAGCACCCTCAGGCAGAGAATGTACTCTGTATGTTCAGACCACTGAAACAACTCCGGAAACTCCTGTATTCAGAGAAGCTCACGTTGAAGCAGATGTTGGATGAGGTCATTTAAATCCCTGACCTTAAAGGAACACTCCACTATTTTTGAAAATAGGCTCATTTTCTAACTCCCCTAGAGTTAAACAGTTGAGTTTTACCGTTTTCGAATCCATTCAGCCGATCTCCGGGTCTGGCGGTAGCATTTTTAGCTGTAGCTTAGCATAGATCATTGAATCTGATTAGACCGCTAGCATCTCGCTCAAAAATGACCAAAGAGTTTCTATATTTTTCCTGTTTAAAACTTGACTCTTCTGTAGTTACATCGTGTACTAAGACTGACAGAAAATGAAAAGTTTCAATTTTCTAGGCCGATATGGCTAGGAACTAGGCGTAATAATCAAGGAACTTTGCTGCCGTGGCCTATTTTCAGGCGCTGCATAATATCATTGTGCCTGCTGCACCCATGGTACGGCAGCAACATTCCTTGATTATTACGCCGGAATGAGAGTATAGTTCCTAGCCATGTCGGCCTAGAAAATCACAACTTTTCATTTTCCATCGGTCTTAGTACACGATATAACTACAGAAGAGTCAAGTTTTAAATAGGAAAAATATAGAAACTCTTTGGTCGTTTTTGAGCGAGATGCTAACGGTCTAATCAGATTCAATTATCTATGCTAAGCTACAGCTAAAAGTGCTATCGCCAGACCCGGAGATAGGCTGAATGGATTCGAAAACGGTAAAACTCAACTGTTTAACTCTAAGGGAGTTGGAAAATGAGCCTATTTTCAAAAATAGTGGAGTGTTCCTTTAAATATTGCATGTGGGCATGTAACACCCCACACGGGAGTAGTTCTTTTACTACAATACCTTTATCAGGCTTACATCCTGCTAGTAGTGTGCTTAGATATATGTGAGTCTAATGTGGTGTATTTTCTAGATGCAGAGAGTGAAGAAGAAGAGGAAGAGGGTCCTTCAGAATCAGACCTCTGGAGGGGTCCAGCGCCCACTGTGGAGGAGAAGTCACGGTGAGATCCGTTTATGCGTCATTATAATGTATTTTACTACAATGCAGAGTATATGTGTACACAAATGTGGGAAATGTGTCTCGTAAGCTCTTGAACACTGGAAATGTCTTTCTAAATCACAGTTAACTGACAAACCTGATGCGTCTGATTCTTTTTCAGGGAGGAAGAGTTTGATGAGTATTTTGAAGACATGTTTCTCTGAGTCGAGGAAAGGAAGATCCAAAAGAATCTCATGCCTACTGTTTTCTTTTTATACCGGTTAGTTTTGTTTTTGAGAAGAATAGTTTGATTACAATTTGTTGATTATTATTTACATTTTTTGTAATAATTTCTACTGGGTCTCATTCAAGCATAAAAATTTGCATATGAAGAATTGTATACATGTGTTTGTAAAACACATTTGGCCTTATTCATAAAACATTACCATAATTTGTGTATGTGTGTATATATGTATGTATATGTATATATATATTTCTGTACAAGTCATTTATAAAAGTATTATGTCAGTTGCTGCATTGAACAGAATGTGTATAAACACACACACACACATAAAAAATTAAATTACAATTATACAAAAATTTATTGTATATATATATATATATATATTTAATTGTGCTTTGTCTTGATTTCTCACAAGATGGCATTGATCAGTCTGTTAATAAGTGCCTTTTTGAAGAAGATAATAAAGTTATATATTTTCAACATTTGTCTGAAATGTCTTCTTTGAAGTAGGCATTTCAAGAGTTAATTGCTCACTTAAGCGCTATATACTCCTACAAAGACAACATGCTCTTTTTTTTTTGTGTTGCTACACAA